AGGCTGCAATTGAACCTAATATTAACATTTTAATTAAGTTAATTAACTCACCAATTTTTCTCTATAAGTAGGGGAGACATAAGGAAAGATAACCTTTTCAGGACAATGACCACCATTCACCAGTAAGAAAAGCATGCATCATTAGAGAAAGAAACAGGAGACAGAGTGCTCTGCTGTCAAATCCTTTCCTTCAGTCACAGAAAATTTGGAGATTTTAAAAGTATATGGCCTGAAGTCTAGTATTACTTGTCTTTGTTGAAGGATGTAACACTTCAAAATAAAAATACTTAGCACTCACAGGGATCTCTTCTGAAACCCAACTGTGTCTAACGCTTTTGAATTCAGTCAGTCATCATAACCACAGTGCTAACAGACCCAGAGACAATACACACCTACATTTTTCAACAGTAGATTACAGCAGCGTCTCCCATGTCTGTTTTTATTTTACTTATTTCAAGGTCTGCTATTCTTTATCATAGCTCTGAATCCCTAAATATGTGTAACAGAGCAGCGAGGATTGTAGAAATTGTAGACTAGTTCAGAACAGACAGCTAAAATGTATTGAGAGTGATTCAATTACTGTTAATGAAATTTAATTTCAACAGCATATTTAAGTGTACTATATAATAAAATTATTCCCCAAGGTTTACTGAATCAAGAAATAGGCTATCTGAAGGATCTTCCAGCCAGTGAGGATGAATGACAGCTCCCTCATGGGAGCCCTAGGTAATTTGAAAAACCAATTCTAGTCCACCTTCTGATCCCTGAGCTTGCGGAGTCTTTACATACTGCCATTTAGGACATTTTCTACAACCCTGAGTCTGCATTAACTCAGGCACTCAATGTGGCCACCAGTAAGGGAATTCAAGGGCTTGAGAAATAAAGAACTACAGGTTTCAAGGGGCAGCCTGCTCATTCTCATGAATTGATTGCTACTAATCAGCTCTGTAACTGTCCAGCCATGAAGCAGGCGTTTTGAAGGGAGAAGTTTGAGCAGATTGACTTTATGAATGAGTCAGCCACCTGCAGAGCCAGCATTTGTGTACATGTCCCCAAATTATTTTGTTTTGGACTGTGATTGCACTATTATAGCCAGGGGCGGGCTGGCCCGGCGGGATACCAGGAATTTCCCAGTGGGCTGTCGTCTGAATGGACCGTAATATCCACCGTAAAGCCTCTAACACCGTGGTCACCAAGCCATTGATTGCAATCAACTGGTCGATCATGAGGGCTCAACCAGTCAATCGCGAGGCATTTGGGCCTCCCCGATTTATCCCCCACCCCTAAGAAGCCCCACTACCTACCTCCAGTGACAATGGAGGTAGTGGCAGCTTCCTGTGGGGTAGACGGAAGTCCGGCAGCTGCGCATCACTTCTGGGGGTTCCAGAAGTGCAATGGCTGCTCCCCTCCCCCAGGTCTGTGGCATGCCAGGAACTGGGGTAGAGGGAGTCCCCAGAGGAAGAGCGCACCGGGGCTTTCCCTTCTCTGCAGGAGGTGGGGACAGAGTTGTCCATGGAGGAGACACATGCCGGGGCTTTCCCTCCTCTGCGGGAGGAAGGGGTAGTTGTCCGCAGAGGAGGCGCATGCCAGGGCTTCCCTCCTCTGCAGGGGGAAGGGGGGAGTCGTCCCTGGAGGAGGCCCATGCCAGGGCTTCCCTCCTCTGTGGGGGGAGGGGGAGGGGAGAGGAGTCCTGGGAGGAGGCGGGTGCGGGGGACTCCCTGCCCCCACTGGCACCCTGTCCCCTACTGCCTCCTGCCCCCCGGCACCCTGTCCCCACCTGGCACCCTGTCCCCCACCGGCACCCTGTCCCCTGTCCCAGCACCCACTAGCTCCCTTCCCTAGTACTATGTCCCCTGCTCCCACCAGCACAGTTGGGGCCACATTAGTGAGGCTTGGAGGGTTTTTGGAGGAGGTTTTTTTTGCATCTCACTTGTGTGGCCCCAACTGACTTTTCTGTGTCAGTGACCCTTGATTCAAAACAGGTTCCCCGCCCTTCTCATAAATAAAGACAATGCAGAAACTTTTTTGTTTTGACATAGTATTTTATTTAAAAATGAAGCCTGGCCAACAAACCCCCAATTGGGGCCAAGCCCCCATCTGGCTGCAGCATCATAACACTCCTGCATCCCCCCAACCACAAAGCTGGAACCCCCTGCCCTGAGCCTCTGACATACTCCAACCCAAATTCCTGCACCCTCACATCCACAAGACTGTGGTTTACTTAGTACCACATCCCTCCATCTGACCCCAACGCTCCCCAGCTTGAAGCCCCTCCCTGAGCCAGAGTCCCCTTTTCCACCTCCTCTTGCATCCATATTTCCTCCCAGACCTTGCCCCTCTCACCCTTTCCCACACCCAAATCCCTCATTCCCACTTTTTTTAGTGGAAGAGCAAACATGCTCTTTCGGCAAGCCCTGTATTCCTTGTTCCATGAGGAATAAGGGGGCTTCTGAAAGAAGGGGATTTTCTGACATTTGGTCCCATTCAGACAGGCCAAATGTTGGAAAAACCTCTTCCTACAGAAGAATTGAAAAAAAAGCAGCAGTGTAGAGTGTATAAGGGCTGGGGATAGCAAGTGATGGAGAGGAGGAGAATAGAGAGGGTGGGGCTTCAAAGAAGGCGTAGGGTCTTGGGGGAAGGATGGGGTGGTAGATCTTGGCTTGTTTTGACATTTAAAAAATGCTCTTGGGTGTAAAAAGTTTGGAGACCACTGTTCTAATACCAAAAAATCGGTAATACCAAAATACAAAATGTTTCTGAATAAATCTGAGGCGGCCGAGACCGTGTGTGTGTATGGTAGGGTGTGGGCCACTGCACTAGCTCGGCTTTGGTTTCTTTGGCGCCAAAGTGAATGACGTCGCATTATGGTTGAAATCAATAGAACGGACGTGCGATGCGCAATGGTGTATGACAGCAATGCATAGGCCTGCTTTGTGTAACGGTGGAATCGGTGATGGAGTCTCTTGAGTCTTGACCGGCGAGTAGAGAGTACTCAGTGGTTGAATGTGTTCTGTTATTGTCTGTCGTTGTGTGTGTGTGGTTTTCCGTAACTGACAATAAATAACAGTGTGAGTACGGTGTAAACGAACAAAGATAGTGTGCATGAAAAAGTGAAAAAGTCAGCTGTTCTCAACCCATTTCTCGGGCCTATTTTGATTGCCAGTCCACACCGATTATAGCCATTCAGATATATGTTCAGTTCAAAATAATTTTCATAGTGAAAAAGGAGTAGACATTTAAATGAGTATCAAAAATTAATTAGACATTTTGTGGAAGGGTTACTAAACTTCATGCTTCAGGATTAAGCCAATTTCTAGCTGTTAGACAAAAGGATGGGACATAACATGAGGGACAGATTGTTCCATGTCTGCTCATGCTTTCCTCTGAAGCATCTGATGCTGGCCACTGTCAGAAACTATACCTAATTCTGATCCACTATGACAGTCCCTGTGTTCCTATAATATATGTCATTTAGCCCACAGAACAGCTAGTCAACAATATTATATATGAATTTAGTAATTTCTCAAAAATAGATTTTTGTCCCATATAATAGCTTTTAAAGACCTTAGAAGTTAGCATTTGGGCATGTAAATTTTTCATGCATTGATCATGTTGAGTCGATCCAGTTTAATTACTAGTACTCAATTTTTACAAATCCTGTATCAAGACTTTAACACTTATGTTAGGAGGACTCGGCAGAAGCACAAGGTCCTGCACTAGCAGATCCTGATATAGGTTTGGCACCACAAGTCAGTGTTAAAAAATACTTATATTTTTAAAAAATGATTCTTATTGTAAAGAGCACTCCAGCTTGTAAACAAAATAATGTTGATCCTGATCTCACAATCTGATACCTGCAGGTGGAAACAGGTATGTACCAGAGTCCTGTTAGAGTTGGCAGGAGTCTGCATGAACATGGGTCTTTGACTATGCAATCAGATTCCAGAGTTAGGAGGTATGTCCTGACTGCAGGCTTCTTTCAGAAGAAGCTTTCCCGGAAGGGATCTTCCAGAAAAACTTTTTTAGAAAGAGAGTGTCCACACAGCAAAAGCACATTGAAAAAGCCATCTGCTTTTTTGAAAGATAGCGTTCACATTCATTGGACACTATCTCGTATTTAAGTGGTGATTACTATGGACGGAGTGGCCACTAGAGCACATGTGCTTTTTCCTGGAGGCCTATTTTTTTTAAAAAAAACCTCTTCCCTGTCCACGCATGTCTTTTTCCAAAAGAGCTCTTTCGTAAAAAGGCTTCTTCCTCATAGAAAGAGGTTTACTGCTGTTGGGAAAACCCCTGTGTTCTTTTGACTTTTTGTTGAAAGAATGCAATTGTAGTGTGGACATAAGTGAAGTTTTTCCAGAAAAATTGCCGTTTTTCAGGAAAATCTCTGCAGTGTAGACACACCCAGAACCTTGGCTATTTAAATGTTTTCCACCAGGATACCCAAAGTGTGCCAGCTCACATTAATATTTAACCTCACAGACTATAGCAATTCTACTACGTATTATAGTCCCAGAAGGCTGATCTTTTCTTTTTATAAACCCACTCTCAGTCTGAAGTGAAATCTCTATAGTTCATATTAGTAATATATATGGAGATATACTTATCTCATAGAACTGGAAGGGACCTTGAGAGGTCATTGAGTCCAGTCCCCTGCCCTCACGGCAGGACCAAGTACCATGATATTGGTAATGATTGCTTAGCAGTAACAGCACAATAACAGGGCCCCTGACAACTTCAGGTGGTGAGTACTTCAAAATACATAGATGCCCTAGAGAAACAACAATAGTATGCATCTTCTGTTGGCTGGATGTTGAGGTTTTTTGGTCATGTGTGAAAGATATTAGAGGCATCTGTAGCACTGTATTTTCTATTAAAATAGAATGCTGAGCAAGTATTATGCTGGGAAAAATTCTAAGTCAAATATCAGTAGAAAACTAAAGACTAACTCTCTATTTAAGAGATCTTATCTGTGAATTTCACTTATTTATTTTTCTTAGTCCTTCTTGAATTCTGACCCATCAGTTCAAATAAAGCTTGAACAAAAAGAAAATAAGATTCAGCCCTTTCTTTGGCATAGTCTTGTTGTTTGGGTCTGTATACACAACAACTCATCTCGATTAGATGAAGTTCTCCAACATCTTCTGTTCTATAAGGATGAGCTCCACCAGAAAAACTGGTAAGGATAACTGTATAAACATGATATAGTTCTTATGGAAACTACCTTGGTGCTTAAATGTTAAATAACCTTTGTGCTTAAATGTTAATCACACTTAAATTGCCTATGAAAAAGATTTATAATCTCAGTGCCAAAAGCAGAAAGCAATTTATGTACTTTGCATTACTTCATTTTATCAATAAATTGTTCATACTTTTTTCGCTAGAAGCACATACAGATTTTGTACTAGTTTGTCTTTATTAAATTAGTTATTGATAGGAACTTCATTCCAGCATTTTAAGTTGCCTTAATTTTCCAAGTAGTTAAACAGCAGAAATGAAGTGTACCATCCTTCAGGGAAATATATCAAGCTTCGATTTTTTGTTGTTGCCTTTCTTACTTGTGAAATGTAACCAAAACTAATCTTGAATGATTAAAATTAATTTTGCACAGGAATGTTTTCCTGAATAGAGTCTATTAATTTAAGCAGCAACAGGCAAAATCTTGACTGTGTTTAGCAGAGCTACAGTATGAAATTAGTGATCTTTATGAATTTTTTTGAAAAAAAAATAAGCATCTGCAAAATGTTACAAGGTACATGCTCATTCATCTACAAAATTCTGCTCAAAAACATAATAGGAGATTGCCCTGGGAACCAGATGTAAGCTTCCCTAGAGATCAGTGATATACCATCTCATGGGTTTGGTTCAGCTCTGTAAACTCCAATGAAATGGGACAGTGAATAAAACAGAAACCTCAACAAGCATATTTTTCCTTTTGTTTTGTTCTTGAGCCTTAGTACATAGCTATATTTGGAGAAGCAGAAGGAAGGTTTTACGTAAACATAAAGTCTGACAAAAGAAGGCTAACTCTAGCTATAACCGAGACCCCTGAAAAGAGGATGTGAAGCTATGCATCCTCCAAGCAAGGGGTACCCTTGTTCTCATTTTCTCCTCCACCCCTATTTACAAGATAGCAATTTTTATAATTTCTGTCATTGTCTCCCATTGTCATTAATTTCCCTAGCTATGTGTTACTTTGTTTGTCAGTGGCTTTTCTGAGCACACTGTTGTCTATGGGTGGCCAGTGACCTGGCAGCTTGGGGTGCCTAGCCCCTGGCCCACCTCTTATGCCTTCCTCTTTGACCCTCTTTAATCCCTCCAGGAGCCCAAAGCATGCTCAGCAGAGCCCTGGAGTGCTACAATCCTAGGACTGCTCAGCTGGGGGCAGGGAGGCAATGCCCCCAGTCCTGGTGTGCTACAGCTTCAGCACCCACAGCTCCTAGGTGGTGCGGCAGCAGCACCCACAGCCCTAGGGCTCTAGGACACAGAGCACTGGGCAGGCAATGCATCCAACCCCTGACTTCCCGTGGGAACTACACTTCCCTGAGGGAGAGGCCACAATAGGGGAATGCTCAGCCTTCCCCTGCATATAGTACCTGGTGCACATTCTATTCTATCATACTGTACTAACCCATAAATGAGCTAGACAGATCTCAGTTATGTATCTGTCACAGTCCCACTCTGACACGGAGACCTTGGCATGAGCTGGTGACTAGTCTGCCAATATCACAGCATCTACTTAAAGAGAGATTTTCAGCTTATATAAATAAGGTAAAACATTGTGTAAGCAAACCTAGATTACAGAAACTTCCAGAGAGCACCTCTATGATCTCATTGTATAAGAACCTTCAAAACAGGCCAGAACTAGAGACAATACTTGTTCAGTATGGAAAGGAGTATGCATACGCACACATGCATACACACGCACACAAACAGGCCAGAACTAGAGACAATACTTGTTCAGTATGGAAAGGAGTATGCATATGCACACATGCATACGCACGCACACATGCACACACATGGACACATACACACATATTCCACAATATCAAAACAAAACAGATAAAAGTTTGAAACTGTTTAGAAACAGGGGGATTCTACTTGGTTCTCATGGAAAGCTTTAAACCAGTTCAGGCTTGCTTGAAAGTTCTATGAATGTTTCAGAGATCCTGAGGGCTCTTTCATAACAACAACCATATGCTTGGCAGTGTGGGTCCATAGTGCTGAATGTCCATGGCCACATTGTATAGCTTTATTTCAGGCATTTAAAAACTCCAGAAAATTATTATTGATCTGGCTGACCACAAAGCTGGCAATGATCAATGACTGGGCCACATCTCCTCCTGACCGTAAGTCTGATCTTCAGGGCTCAGCATGCAGAGACTTTATCCCTGAGGCAGGCTATATGACCAGAAAGTTCCAGCTGGCAGTGACCAATGAGGACCACAATCCTCTCAAGGCTAGTTTTCAATAATACACCCCTATTACTGATAAAAATCAAACAGTCAAAAATTCCCATCGGTTGCTGTTTGCAATGCATATGAAATACTTCCAGTCACCTGCTGTCTCATTTGAGCAACCAGACTAGACAGTGAGGCTAGCTGTGAGCTTGGTCTAAAGCACATTTGAGGCAATGTCTACACTGCAGAAAGAAGTTGAAAAAGGATACACAAATTGCGAACCGCAATTTGTGTATCTTTTTCCACAAGAGGCTTTTCCAAAATTTGGCCCATCTACACAGGGACAAATTTTGGAAAAACTCTTTCGGAACATTCCTTATTCCTCTCACAGAGAGGAGTACTGGGATGTTGAAAGAACATGTCCGCTTTTTTGGAAACTGTTCCAAAAGAGTGCACGTGTTCCAGTATCCCGGAAAAGCTCTGCAGTCTAAACATAGCCTAACTCAAGCAGAACAGCTTCAACAGACAAGAAAGCAGAATGCCTAGGGCTATTTCAGAACAGGTGCAGGCATAGGCACCAGGGCAGACTCACGCCTAGTCTATGCTGGCAGAGAAAATCAATGTAAGATGCACAACTCCAGCTACATGAATTGCTCACTTTTTTACTGAACTCACTTAAAGGCTGGTCTTTATGACGTCACCTAGCAAAGAGGACCACACGCTGACTGTACCTTGTAGGAAGACATATAACTCACTTAAAGGCTGGTCTTTATGACATCACCTAGCAAAGAGGACTACACACTGACTGTACCTTATAGGAAGACATACCACCTTTGGTTTGGTTTAAAGTTGCTGCCAATTCATGTCCTTGGGTCACCCTGACTCTTGAAGGGGTAAATAAAATGTCCTTATGCACTTCTCCACACAGTTTAAAGAGCTCTAGCATATCCTGGTTTTCCCATGCTGAAAAGCCTGGCTCCCCTTCTCCACAGTCACAGGTAAGGCCCCTTAACCACTAGGTTAAAGGTTACATGGTAGGTCTCAGTCTTCTTCCCCCTCAGTTGTTTGTGGAGGCATTCAAAGGTACCTCACGAGAAATGATTTTGGCACCTAAGTGGCTCCTGGCCAGGGATTACAAGTAGAGGTCAGGTTAGATGCTGAGAGGGTAGATGCTGGTTCAATTTCCTTCTCCCAGCCTGAGGAGAAGAGATTTGAATAACAGTTCTGCATTCTCTCACATGTGAGTCCCAGTCAGGGACATAAGGAACACACTAAAGTGGGTTGCACCTTGGAGCATCTTGAGGCTGTGACATTATTATTAAGTAACAATTAGGTAAGGCTTAATTGATTAAGCCCTTTGTAGTGCTGGGTGCTTATCTGGGTGATGTGGGTTCAACTCCTTCCTCAGCTTCCAGAGGAGGGGCTTGAGCAGCTGTCTCTGAAGTGAACGTTCGAGTGCTGGACTAAGAGGTGGTCTCCCTGAGGTGTGCCTGGTGTTTGCTGCATCATCCTGTTTTGCTGCAATTGCTTCACTTTCATTCATGGGGATGCACAAAGCTAGCAAGCAGCCCTGGGGAGCCTAGCAGTTTGGGTATGTAGTTAATGTATGTTAAGCTTGGGGCACAAATCCCCCTTTATGCTTGCTGAGCAGGGATTTGAACCTTCCTTTCTTACCTCTCCAGTGAATGGCCTAAATGCTGGACCAGGAACGAATGTGACCTGGGGCCTCCCTTAGTCCTTTCTGCTGAAGTGGCTCCACTTTCAGTACATTTTCATCAGACCAAAGCCCCAATAATCAGCCTTGTGTAGTTTACTGGTTGGGTGTGTGCAGGAGGTGGAAGTTTGGAGTTCACATCCCCTTCTTGCTTGTTGATCTCTCACCTCTCAAGTGACTAGGCTAAGAGCTGGGCTAGGAGCTGGCTTTCTCTGTGTTTCCTTTTGAGGATGGGCTACTGTCATTAGATAATTACATTGGCATTGAGCCACAGGCAGCCCTTGAGTGTCCCTGTAGTCCAGAGGTTTGGATGCCTGCCCATTGACAAATGCAAATGTTGTTTTGAATGTTGATCTCTTACTTTTCAAATGAATGGCCTGAGTGCTGGCCTAGATGGTAGTTGGAGGTGGGAGCTTCTTCAGCCTCTCCTGTTCATGGCTGGCCACGTTCAATAAATATGAAATGAGAATTGGGTCACTTAGCCCTTATGACTCCCTCTTTATTCCTGTGCTTTGGATACCAGTCCCAGAGGCAGGGAGGCACGGCTTCCAATTCCTTCTCTTCATGTTGAGAAATGAGTGGCAGGGTGATCTATTACCTTCAAGTGTTCCACTTTAACTATATATTAAGCGGGGCACAGTAAGCTTCCAAAGCCCTCTGTGGTATGGCGGCTAGGGTACTCCGTTGTGGTGTGAGTGTCCTGGACTCAAATCCCTGCTCTGCCAGGCAGGAGGGCCTCTGGTGTGAGTGCAGAGTCCTTGCAACTGATCAAAAGCCTACTTGTAGCCCCTCTTGCTCTTTTAATTAAATAGGAATTGCTGCTGGGCTATAAAAAAACCCAACTTGCTCTTGTCCACCACGATCAGGAAATAGGCCCAGTTGTTAATTAAATTTAGGGTTAATGTTAATGAAATGTCACTATATGTTCAGGTTAAAAATATGTTTCCAAAGACTTTTAGGCATATCAACGGATTTTATATTTCAGTGAGGTACTGATGTTGATGGAGAGTTCTCTTAAAACTAGTTCCTCAAATAGTCTGAAGTGACAGGGCAACTAATTTGTTA